AAGACAGTCCCAGAGTCAACTGCCCCACGGAGACGGTGGGCTGCCGGCCATCGTGTGATTGATGATGTTGAGGAGCGTGGGGCTGGGCGCACGCCAGCGCTGGCTGGAGAAACAGCTGCTGAGGTACTGGACCTCCCAAAATCCTACTGCTGCGCAGACAAAGAGGAGACCCAGCCTCTCTCTCCTGCTCGCTCCCTCCACCTTGGCCCCCTGCTCTGCCTCCCCTCCCAGCCCAGCTGGGCCAGGCTGCAGGGATAGGGCTCTGCATAAGGAGTTCTGGGAGCCCAGTGGCATGCAAAGGGACCGTCCTTTGGCTGGGCTGGCACCAGGACCAGGGAGCCCTGAGAAACCTTAGCTGCATCAGAGCAAAGCGCTGTGCAGGGCTGGGTCTGCTCAGGCAAAAAAAAAAAAAAAAAAAAAAAAAGGAAAAGCTGACATGAATCATTTTGGCTTTCGGGTGTTGCTCTGAATGCTTCACTTGGGTGTCGTAAAACACCCGTCTTCCCTTCGAGGCTGGGATTAGCCAGGCTCCCTTTCCACGCTGTGTTGCAGCAGTATTTCCTTGCTGTCCCCAACCCCAGCACCATCCCTGCTACAGCTGAAGGAAACTTAATCACCCTGAGCTCAGTTGGAAGAGATGTTCAGTGGCTCAGTGAGAAGCAGCTCAAAGCATGGATATTAAATGACACCTGCAGCACATCAGGAGCTGTAGCTTGATGAGTGAGCAGCCCAGCCACCAGCAGGAGACATGGTGCCCTCTCCAAGGGGACCATCCAACCTGCAGTCCCAACCAAGTACAGCCAGAGACTGTCCGTCCCCCTCTCCAGTGTGTCCATCTCCCCACCACCAGCACCATCCCCATGCTTGCTTGCTGCTACCTAGCCACCCCTGCCCACAGCAAGAAGAAAGGAGATGCAGCTCCTTCCTTGTGCTCTGCAATGCCCACTGATGTATCTATAATTGATCTCAGAGAAACCCCAGTTCTGCTCAGAGGGTGGCGACACTATCGAAACTGTAACGGGATTTTGATGTTCAGCCAAGACAGGGGGGAGAACAGTCCATTTGCCAAATGCCATGGTTTGCAGGTTTTCAGGTGACAATTAAACATGCAGCTCTTGGGTACCCATCTCTCTCACAATAACCCCAGCAGCTCCTTTCTCCACTTCCCCAAGCCCACGGGTGACTGGGGAGGAGCATGGAGATGGGTTTGGGAATGGTACTTTCAAGAGGGTGGTGCAGAGCATCTCACTTTCCCAGGACCACGTTGGCTCCATGGTGCTCAGCTGAGCTGAGCAGATGCTCCTGGAGGCTGCTTTTGAACATCAACAGGGGCAACAGAACATCTACAGGACCAGAGAACATCTACAGGACCAGAGAACATCTACAGGACAGGAGATCTCTGGCTACTGAGGGAGCTCAGGCGCCAGACTCGGAGGTGCCCAGGCTGGAGAGGTGAGCCTGGACCTGATCAGCCTGTGACCATGTCCCACCCTGGGCCATTTGCACCTCTCCAGGAAAATGCTGCAGACAACTTGCTCCCTCCCAACACATCACCTTTGGGTGCCTGCACTCCCACTCCCCTCACCCCAGAAGCATTTCAGCCCACACCAAGGCACAGAGTGTAAACCAAAAGGAACACAGTATTTTGGGAGGTGACTGCAGATCAGTGGCATGCACCATGGCTCCAAAGATGTGTGTCCCTGGAGGACACCAGCAACAGGTTGGCACCGCCGGCCCCAGTCATTCTGAGGCCCCAGAGGTAATGCAGAGCCTCTGCAATGGATGGATGAGCCTGGGGCAGGAACTGAGGAGCTGGGGAAGGAGTCAGCATGCACACACATGCCCCTCTCCCACATCCCCGCACACCCCTCTCCCACCCCTGCGTAGGGAGGTCACTCCCAGGCAGCTCATGCACATCCCAGCTGCAAATCCCGACTGCCACCACTGGCACGGCCCACGAGCAGCAAGGCAAGCGCGCAGAGCAAGACCAAAGACGAGCAGTTACCTCTGCAGACAGTCCCATTTTCCACCGACTCATAGCCCGCCCGGCACATGCAGCGGCCGATGGGCACCAGCCACTCGCCATCCCCGTTGCAGTACAGCTTGATCGGCACATCCACCTCCTCTGCGTTGGTGATGCACGTCCCCCGGGCTGCCACCAGTGAGGTGCTCTCTGCTCCCGACAGGGTTTCTTGGAAGACGGCCCCATTCTGGATCACACGGGGACACTTGCGGTAAAAGACACGGACAGCAATCAAGGACATGCAGCCTCCATAGTCCTGGAAGGCCAGGTAGAAACCGTTCTTGGAGACAGGCCCAAAACTGCGCACCTCAGTGTTAATCTTCATCACCCGTCCACCTAGGTCCACCTGTGAGAAGCTCTCATCGGCAGCAATCGTGTCTACCTTCATCCAAGGGTTCTCCATCCAGTTAGGAAAGGTCTTTGTGGCCGAGTCAAAGTCCGACTCAAAATAGTAGAGGTTAAAAGTCTCCTTACAGGAGCCTGGGACATTAGGGATGCTGCTGCAGTCCCGGACAGAAAATTTCATCTCCACGTGGATGCGGTGTGCTCCTCGCCTCCGGATGTACTTGGTCCGGAGCCAGTTGTTTTGGTTGGATTCAAAGACATTGCACACCTGGTAGGTGCGAATCGTGTTCATGTTCTCGTCGTACCCACTCACCTCTTCCCACTGTGGACAGGACACAGAAAGTCAAGGGGCTGCACCATACTGATATTCCCCACCCACTCCACCTCTTCTCAACCCCACCACGTGCCAAGTGGGCAGACTCTGTCAGTACCAGCTGCCCCACATCATGCCCACCCCGTCGCACAGGCAGCTCCATCAGTGCCCAGAACCTCGCCCCGGCACAGCTCCAGCACCACCCTGCAAGCTTCCCATACCTACACACCTTCGTCCTTCTCCGGTAGGGTTTGACTGACACTGGACAGGCCCTGCACAGTGGGGACAAGCCCTCAGCAGAGCTTGGGGCCATCCTGCTGCCAGCAGCATTGTGCTCCATGCCCGGATTGATGGTAAAGCATCTCTGCCGGGTGGCAGGGCACAGTGGGGCCACGCACCTCCTCTGCAGGCAGTAATGTCACTAGCAGGGGCTGCTGCCTGCGGGCTGCATGGTACGGCAGAGCCTCCTGGCAAAGTAATAGGATGCCTTTAGCAGATGTACTCCCACCAGCGCCGCTGTGGTTACAGATGGGGCAGACTGGACCCACTTTCTCAGGAGTGCATAACACGTAAACCTCCTCACCGGCTGCAGCCCACTGGTGTGAGGGCTGGGTGGCTGACAGTGCAATGGGCCAGTAGCTCACGGCCTCTCCCCAGAGGAAAGTTTATAGGAGCCTGGCCAACTCTGCTGTGTACCCAGAAAGGCAGATGCTGGGCTAGATCCTGCTAGTAGCCCTCATCTCTCCCCTTTTAAGGGCCAACATGCTTTGGGGTCCCTCCTGCAGGTATGCACAGGTCACATATACCAGCTGTCCTAATGTGGGATCTGTGGGATGTCCTGAGATCTGTCGCCTGACAGTAATATCCTCCTCAGCAAGACAGCTCAGAGCTGACATATTTCCCCATGGGAAGCTCAGCCAAGCTCCCCCCAGCTGATTAACGGCTGACTGCCAGCTCTGGAGGAGTCTCTGCAGAGCTCAGGATGCTGTGACACCTCCTGGCCCTGTCCAGCTCCCTGCCCTTTTCCCAGGCTGTTTTTTCCCAAATCTTTCAGTGCTTGGTGTTGTCTCTACCCTTTGTAGGATGGGGAGACTTCAGGGTGGGTGATGCACCAAGGAAGGGCAGAGCTGCAGCCTCTAACTGGCCACCACTCCTCTGCAGTGAGCACAGACGGGAAAGGGTCTTCGTGGGAGGAGAACCTTTCACTTGGCTCACCACAGCATTCCCCCAAAACCTCCTGGAGGGCAGAGCATCTCCCTGTGCTGCCCCCTCCCCACCCGCAGCACCCTCGCGATGTTGGCGGTAGGGATCAGGGTTCAGCTAGCGTGTGACACAGTCCCAGCCAGCTGGAACAGCTTCTCCTGAACTTGTTCATAAACCTGCTCAAGTGGAAGCTGAGCTGTTTCCCACGGACTTGAAACCCTGAGCACAACCCTGCCCTGGATGCAGAATCACAACATCCAGGACAGGGCAGCAGCATAGCCCAGATCCAGCACCAGTGCCAGGACCAACGTCTGCAGGGAAAACCTTGCAGAAGCAGAGCACCGCCATGCCGTCAGCCTGCAAAGAGCCTCACAAGAGCATCCAGGACTGCACAGGGAGGCTCATGAGATGGGAGACAGATTGCTCCTCGCACATCAAGGCTAGCAGCCCAGCAGAAGGCTGTCAGGGAAGATCCTCAAACAGCTCAAACCACTTCTGATTGGCAACGGCTACAAATCTGCTGCCATTGCTGGGGGAGGAGGAAGGCACCCTTGCAAAATGCAAGGGGAGAATTTGCTTTATTTTCCAGAAATAAATTTGGTGTGGTAGTGGAAAATTGCAGGATATCCCTGGGTTTTAGGGCACCAGTTGAGGGGGGGGGGGGGGTGAAGGAATCAAGGATAAGGCACAGGGAAGCAATTCTTTCCCCTGCCCTGCCTCTGACATGGCGCTCCCTCACCTGGACCCCTCCTGACACCACTCCAAAACAGTGTGACAGCCACCAAGACCCAGGGATGCCCAGTACTGCCCTGTCCCCATGCACACCTACATGGCTCCCGGGGAGGGTTCAGCACATGAGCCTGAAGAGCTCAGCCCTGGCCAGGCAGGAGCAGCATGTAGTGGAAGGAGAGTCTCTACAGTTCGGGCATGAACAAGCAGACGATGGAGGCAGAGCATGGGGACACCTACAAGTCCCATGGGAGCAGCACAGCCAGGGCAACTGTTTGGGCTTTTGGATCTCTAATCATCACCAAAGAGGAAATAAATGGGTGGACCACCCAGCAGCTTTTTTCTTCCAGGTGATGCTGGCTACACCTAACCTTGCCAGTCACCCATGGGTAGGATGCCCTGCCTTGTCCTGCCAGTGGGCATGAGGTCGCACTGGGAGAAGCCATGAAGGCACCACAGCATCGGCATTCGTGACACGCACAGTGCAGGGCACGATGCACGCCACATCCCCCCCCAGGGACTTGCCCAGAGGTGGGGACAGGAGATGACCCCACCAGCAACGCCGGGGCTGCACTGGACTTTCCAGACAGGCATCTCCATCCTGACAGGGACAGGGGACCTAGGAGCACCCTGGGGGCCAGGCTCAGGACCCCCACTATCCTCCCGCATCCCTGCAGGAGCGAGCAGCAGGCTCCCAAGCTCCCTTTTCTCAGCTGGGAGAGAAAGTCACTCCCGTGCACCAGCCCCTGCGCTTCCTCGGTGCTTAATTAGAAGCCTCTCCCTTTCTCCTCGGTCTCTAATTAACATGCCGGGAGCTCAAAAGAAGAAGGCAGCACAATAATACGGGGAGACGGCTTCCAGCAGGCCCAGGCCTCATTACTGCAGGGCTGGGGAGCCGGGAGCAAGGCATGCTTTACATATGGAAACACGGCAAACAAGAAAGGCTGGGCAAGGAGAGAAAAAGACTTGACCTCTGCTCCCACCTATTGTGCTCCCGTCATCCCCCTTTGGCGGCCGGGCCGGCACTGGTGAGGCGGCCGGGCTCGCGGGCGGGCGTGGGGCTTTATCATGGTGATGGGGGACCGGTGCCGGCACCACCCGTGCCCCAGTGCGGCAGGGCTGCTCAGGAGCTGGGCTTAATCTCCCCGATGGAAGCTTTTCTTGGCCATTTCTTTTCTTCTGCCAAGTCAGTTTGGGGAGGGGGCTTGCTGTCAGCCTCGGGGTGAGGTCCACTGAAATGTCTTCATCCAGCCCCTGAGGAGGGTGGATGGAGGGCAGGATGGAGCCTGAGTCACCACCTCTGTGCACAGGGATGGGAAGCATCTCCAGGCTTTGGCCAGGCTGGACTGGGCCACCCAAGTGTGAAGGAGCAGGTCTAGGGGTGTCAGGCACTGGGGCTCCCTGCTGCTGCTGCTGGCCACCACAGCCAGAGCTGGGCAGGACACTCTGAAGCACCTCAACACGCTGTGAAAACACTGCAGGACACAGAGGTGGTTGGGGCCGCTCCAGTTTTGCGTCATGAGCGGAAGGGTGCAGAGATGCACTGCCTTGTCCAAGCTCTTCTTTAAAAGTTTGTTCTGTGTGGTCTTGGGACGTGGCTCAAGGGACGCTTGGCACCAGTAAAGCAGAGATGCAGTCGCTGCTGAGCCAGCAAATGTCCCTCCATGAGATGTCAGGATGCTGGACAGTCATTTCAGGACTTGATCAAACAGCTGCCGTGGGTGCAACCTCACAGGCCAATGCCCTCATCCTTTTCTGCCACAAGTGACTGGCAACGGGATAACAAGCGAGACATTGGGGAAAAATGACAGTGGCCTTGGCATTCCATTTCTCCCCCCTCCCTGATTTTTAAGTAGCTGCAGGCCAGGTTTACAGAGAGTATGATTCCTCCAGCACCACACTGGCCTGATGCTGAAGGGTGAGAATTACACTCCTCCAGCACTGCATTATTTTTTGGAAGCATCACCTCCTAGAAACTGCTGGAAGCCTCAACTGTCAACCTCTTTTGTGCTCTTCCCACTAGACCTTTTCACGTGGCTTCAGTGGCTGACTTTCACTGAGCCAACCTACCTACGTTCACATGCAGCAGGAGATCCCACACCAGGCCCCAGGCCCCTGTGAAGTGACAGGACAACTTACCCCTGATGGAGGATGCACCGTCCAGCCCAGCTCTGCTGTTGCTGTTGTGGAGTCCATCAGTGTCTCTGCAGGAGGAAGGTGAAACATGGAGTCAGTGGCTGTCTAGTGAATAGTCTGAGGCTGGAAAAGGGCAAAGGGGTGGAGATGAGCCAGCCCAGGACTGCAGCCATCAAGCAGCCTGTGCTGAGCCCTCTGGCCACCTCTCAGCCAGGGAGTTGCCAGGTATCAGTCCCTTCACCCATCTGCTTCCCCAATCATTGCCCATTGCTCCCTGGCTCCCTCATCTCCTGCAATGCATGGGGGCACGTGCACTTCCACCCACCAGCCCAGCTGGACCTTCTTCCTCAAAATCGAGAGCCAGGGTAGCACAGCCCTGGAGCAGCTCTGCTGCTGCAGATAAGGAGCCCAGCCTGAGCAGGTTTCCTCCATCACCTTCCAGTTTCTTTTGCAAAAGCAGGATAGTTTTTTCTCGAGTGTTTTGCATAGTAGGCAGAATCCTTGGCAATGCGGTAGCACATGGGAAGGAACAGCACTTTTAAGACTTAAAAGTACTAAAAAAATAAAGCAACGTTAAAGCTGATTTTCCAGACAATTTGGGTTGAAATAGGTCAAGCAACGCTACCATTGACCAGTACAGAGGAGAAGTCTCCCTAAGCCAGGCGGGCAGCAAAGCCTCCTCATCCTTTCTATAGCTTGTCACACTTCCAGAACAGAAGGTTTTTTTCATCCCAAATAGTTATAGGTTGGCCTAACTACACTGATGGCATAAGAAGGGATGCTCAGGTTATGGCATCTCAGTATGTGGGCTAATGTATGTAGGTGTTCTCCATCCAGCACGTGAACAGGCCAGGTGGCCCCATCAGAAATATACTGGACAGATACTTCCATGAATGGTTTCCACAATATGGGTAGCTGTCCAGGTCTGGGTAACTCCAGGTCTGCAGCTGCATGCTCGTTGCAGCACAGGGGTTTTTCAACACTGTGCCAAATGCTGAGGTTTTAAGATAATAGGACAATATTCTGGTGTTTCGGAAATGGTATTTAGAAATCATACCCAAGAGTTTCAGCACACCGAGGCTGGGCATGGGAAAAGCATTATGCTTGTGGGACAGACTGTACAGGCCAGCAAACGGCCAGTGATTCTGTGGCTGAGACCAAGGTGATGCCCACAGAAGAAATTCTATCCCTCTGCTCTGTAGGGAGAACATGAGTCTGCCCCTGATTTCAGTGTGTGCACTTGGGATGCCAATTGCATTTGCAGGGATGCTGGAAAACATCCAGCAGACACACACGCAATACACAAACACGAAATTTGGCTTGCAGCTTTGCTCTCCCTGCCCTCCCAGTTAGTGCAGGGCAGGCAGGGAAACAGTCCAGCTTCAGGGCTCTGAAGCTCTCAAGACAAAGTATCTTATGCATAAGATGAACACCCACTCTGTGTCAGCTCACTGAGAACGATCAACCATGAGAACTCTAATATAGTGGAGATCTCCAGCTACCATCCTATAACCCAACAAATGGTGTCAGTTCCCATGGCCCCAACAGGGACGGAGAGTTACTGGCTGTGACCGTGTCCTGTTGCTGCTCCTTACCACCAAAAAAACAAGCATCCTGCCACGAATCCCCCAAAAGCATCTCCACCTTCTCCACTTCCACTACAATGAACAAAAATGAAGGAAAAGAAGCTCAGCCTTGAGCAGACCCATCATCTAAGAGACAAGCCTGGATGCAGAAACAACCGCTGTTCAGCCTGCCCAACAGCGCACATGAACTCCCCTCTTCCCTTCGGCAAGCCAAGAAGTGCCTCAGCACAGATACGCTCCTTGCACCTACTTTTGGCAGTAAATCATTTTCAGACCGTGGGTTGTTTGTTACTCCTAGTAAAAGCCAGCGGTCTCCAGTTCACAGGAAACCAGGATTTCACAACCTGGTCTTATTCCAAGAGTAAAAAGCAAAAATAGTTCTTTTAAATTTTCCCACTAGGAAGAGTTGTGGAAAACAGCTAGTCAAGAAATGTCGTCATTCAGATTTATGAAATTTCTCTTTAAACTAAATGTTTGTTTACATAGTTCAATAATAGTGTTTATCTTATCGGAGGGTCTGGCTTTTTCATTAAAACACCAGTGGCACTTTGATCTGAAAGGAAAACAACATTTTTCACTCAGTGCTAGCTAGAAGCTGCATTACTTTAAAGAAACCTTAAATTTGTTACCTTAACTATCAATGTCAGTGGTGCATAGTAAGTATATTAATAGCAGTGACTATAATGTAAAAGAAGATATACTCTAAAACAGTATAACTAATTCCCCAAATAAAAACAGTATTTGGAGGAATTTGGACTTTTTAAAAGTCTTGTATTTAATGAAAACTTAGTGCAATTGAAATGTGCTTGGTGCATTATGCAGAGCACGCTGCCCACAGCCCTCGCCGTTGCCCCGCACGCTCAGCTAAAGAACTGCACATCTCCTTGGAGCTATGCATCTACCCCAGCTGGCCAAAGGACATCTTGTTTTGACACAAGACAAGAAGTAGAAATTTGCAGATTTTAAGCAGGTTTTTCCAATGGTCAATTATCATCTCATAAAAAAAGATTTGCCATTAATTTTAGTCTGAATTTACATTGTTTGGCTGCTAGCTATTAGATTTCCTTTTCCTTGTACAAAGACTGTGCTATCCAAAACCCCCTTTCCCTCTGGTGGTGCTTAAGGGTGGCAAACGAATCATCTCCAAGATAACTAAATTAGCTGAGCTTCCTTATTCTTCCACCCTAAAACAGGTTCCTTTCTTTGAGGCTCCTGTTTATCAACCTTCTTTGCATAGGGTGGACCCCAAGACTGTGGTCTCCATTGCACTCAGCTGTAACATCCCAATGCGCCCCTTTCTGCACAGCTTTTCTACCGAATTGCTGCTCTGGCTAAAGTCCATTTCGAGATGAGTTGGCACGTTAGCACTTAGCAGCAGTCGCCTGAACTAGGGAAAATTGTGAGTAACTGGTCCCCATGAATCACAGCAAACCTGGTTAGCCGCACTGACTGCAAAAGTGGATGTGAAGCCAGGACGGGTTTCAGTGGTGGTGGTGGGTTTGCTCCACCCTCCATTGATGGCTGACTTCAGAACACCGTATTGCTGAAATAACAGCCTGCCACAGAGTTATCTTGCCTGTATATCTGGCCAGGAACACCCCTCACCCTCCACCTGAGGCCAAGGAGGCCATATGGTCCTCCAGGGTAGATCGCTGTCTCATTCCTAAGAAGTTTCATCTTTCCAGACAAAAGCAGTGCATTAATTTTCTCCAGTAAACAAAATCAGGAGTGATGTCCAATGAATCAACACATCCCTCATCTGCAGGGGCTTCTCTCTGTGTCTCTCTCTCAGGCTCAGACCTCCCCAAATTTCCACAGCCAGATGCCATGGTGGCACACTGCAGTGGGAGGAAGACCCCATGAAGACACAGCCAAGCCCCGCTCTGACATCCCATCCTGAAAGTGCTGGCACGGAGTCCAAACTAGCAACCAGTAAACCTGGAAGGTTTAAGAAAGACAAGGCCTTACCACCCACCTCAGCTGAGCAAGAGAAAGGCTGAGATTTCCCCAGGGTCTTCCTGAAGCTGGACGGGTTTTTATTGCTGCAGGGGGACTGCGGAAGCTCATCAAAGAGGAGTTTGCAAGATGATTGATTGTGGTCTGCAAGGATCTACGCCAGGAGAAAGGAGCAGCAAACGCAGCTCCTTAGCCCATGAGGGAAGTTACAGCTACAGCTTTGCCTGGGAGCTGAACCCAGTAAGACACGTGGAAAATGAGATTAAATTTTACCAGGGAAGGTAATCTCCCCTAAAGAGTAATCACCAAGACATGCAGATCTTGCACTATTTGCATCCTTCACCATCCTGGGTGAGCCAGGAGCACGCACTGAGCAGGAGGTCACTTTGGTTCCTTCTGGCCATCGAGGTATAATAACCAAGGAGATACTCATGGACATCTCTGAGTGGATGGGTGACTCCAGGCACCAAGATGACAGTTGTACAGAGTTCTGCTACGGGTGCAAGCCCCGCACAAGGCATGATAAGCCCCACAAAATAGGAACCCAACATCCTCCAGAGGCAGTTCTTCCACCTGCAGCAGTCCCATTGAGTCTGCCCTCAGCACCTCAGTCGCTTGCAACTTCTGTACCCACGGTGACCCATAGTGGGCTGCCATGGCCAGCAGGTCTCATGATCCTACCTGTGGGCTGCCCCACGCTCATACCTTGCTCCATGCACCCAAAAGGACCAACTCCTTGGCTGGAGACAATAAAGTTGGACCCATTTCTGGGTGAGCAACCCCAAGCCCAGCTGTTAGAGCCCTCCCAACCACGGAGAGAAGATGCCTGCTTCAACCAGCAAACTCAGCAGCTTCACTTGCTGTCACAGCCAACACTTTTACAGTGCCATCCTGCCAGTTTGGCAGCACCAAATAACAGTGTGAGGGGCTGCCGCTTCGGCAGTGCCATAAAGACCTCCCTTGGCATCCAGGACAGAGCAACCCCCCAGCAATGACAGTGACGACATGGAGCTAAGCCGTGTAGAAGCGACAGGGGTGCGTGTCTGGCCCCTGGCCCATCTCTGGTGGCTGGCGATAGCTGCAGCTCAGTGAAATGCTCTCTCCAGAGCAGCATTTTCTCAATATTGTTGTTTGTGTTCTTCCCTCCCGCGTGTTTATCTGCAGATTCACATGCTACCCACGGCATCATAAATAAATTTGCAGCTGCTCGAAACCAGCAGACGCAACTCTGGCCCGCTTCCCACCAGAAACCACACTGCTCCCCACGGGACAGTTAGGAGATAAGTGCCTGTCCTTTTCACTTTGAAGATGTTTTCAATAAGCAACTTTCTGCCAGCGCTGGGGCCTGTCACCAGCACTGCTGCTTGCTAAGAGGGCATGCCAGGGCTCCGGCTCGAGCACTTTGCATCTAAAGGTGCGTCATCACCACCATACCACCACCTCCAGATGCTCAACAGCTCTGCCAAGACACTTTCAAGCTGATGATCTGCTATGCCAATGACCTGGGTGGGTGGGGGGCTCCTACG